CGAGCAGCCGCGCTCCCCCCAGCACGGGGCACCAGCCTGGGGCTGTACTGCCAAAAAAAAGGGGGGTATTGTTCAAAGAACCTGTTAAATGGAATTGTTGGTCATAAAACAGAGCTGCATGAAGACAACTGTACAAACAAAATTACTTTTGAGACATTTCTTTATGCTGATTGGAGCCTTTTATGGTTTAGTGAATGATCGTACCAAATCACTGTCCCTACCAAGTAACTTTTATGGACACGTCCACTGAATTTACAATGTCAGTGAGCTTGTTTCCTGTATTTGGGCAGGAAATTTAAAACACGTTTAAGGTAGGTGAGGATAACTCAAAAACGTTTGCTATAGAAAAATGGGGAAAAGACAGTAATGGTGGAATCACTGGCTTCTGGGTTTCAAAGCATTAACCAGCGTGATCTGACAGAGAAACTGGGAGGCAGCTTGTAAGTGCAAGAGTAAGGATGAGTGAAAGACGTTTATCTGATATCTATGAAGGATAATTTCAGTCCATTTTTGAGGTCTTCTTAGTAGCATTTGTATCTTGAACAGACTGCACCAGAGAGACAGAGCCCCTGCCTGGCCGTGGGCTCCTCCAGCACGTACCAGCAGGAAGCTCCCTGGGCTGGTCTCGTGGCTTGAGAAGCCCTGGCACGGTTAATGCTTGTGACTAACCTCAGCATTTACCCCAGACTGTTGGCCAGAAGATTGCACAATGTTTTCTAAGGAAAGGATTTAGTTTCAGAAAGGGAAGAGATGCTGGAGTCTTGTAAAACGCTGAAACTCCCTTCAGTAAGCAAAAGGTTTTGCTGAAACAAAGCAGGGGTGCTTTCTGCAGCGGCACAACGTCATTAAAGTGCCGGATCACTCTGGTCTCATTCAGCACGTCAGGTCTTCAGACTGGCCCGATGTGTCCTTGCGCAGAAGCACAGAAAATCGCTTAATTAGAAGGACACGCGTTTTCATCAAATCTAATGAGAAAGAAAATTCTGGGACTTGGGAAACCCTAAGCTCGGAGGCCTGAGGCCCAGACGGAAGGTGGGGAAGGCTGGTTTGGTTTGTGCGCGGCAGCGCCTCGCGCAGCACCGCCTCCCTCCTGGGGTGAGGGTGGGGGAGCGGCGCCCTCAGCTCTGTCCTCGGCGCTCCGAGAGCTGCTGCCCAGGCGTGTTTCTGTCACACGGTGACGCGTTGTCCAGGGGAAGAGGCAGGTGGTGCCCACGCAGAGCCTGGGCCCCGGCGGTGTCCATCCCATGGCACCACAGACCGGCTGTCTGTCGTCGGTCGGTGGTGGGCGACGCGCCCGGTGCTCCGGTGTGCTGGCAAGTGATCAGAGTTAATGGAGAATGATTTTTTTTTCTGAATGACAGCCAGAAGCGAGGAAGGCAAAGCAGTTGTTCTCCTGCCCATCCTGAAAAATAGACTTCATGGGTCAGTGTGCTGTCAGATGGACCAAAGGCTAAGTTCTGCCTTGATGCAAGCGTAAATAGGGTGTGAACGTGTGAAAGTCAGGGCGTTTGCACCGGGAGTACTTTCAAAGTGATTGAAGTCATGATTTAATTCACTAACAGCAGACTTCTTCAGAAGCTTTTTGTGTCTCATCCCATTGTGCTAATGCCCTGGACTGGAGGTCAGGACCAGGACGGTGCTGCTTGTGCTCGGTGAGGAGCTGGCCCAGCTGCCTGGGGGCCCACGGGGGGAGCAGCCCCTGCGTGTGCTCACCCTGCTCTTACCCAAAGTGCTGCCTGCCTGGAAAAAATATTTTTCTAGATGCTTCTTTTGACTATTCTGCTCCAACTACATGTGAGTGTTTAAAATCGCTGAAAGGGCTGTTCATTTTGATTTGTGCGTTGTTTGAGCAATGCAGACAGCAAAGCTGCTGGGAGGGAGTTGTGAGGTGAAGAGCGGCCTCTGCGGAGGGCGAAAGGGCAGAGACCGACCCTGTCCCTTGGGTCTGGCCGGACACAGGCGAGACCCGTGACACGACTGGAAATGTGTCAGACCTCAGGGAACGACGGGGACAAACGCCCTGTGCGTCCATGCCATGCTGTTGAGGTGCAGTCAGGACGCGCCGCGGGGGTTCTGCCCGCGCCCCTGCCCGCCATGCCGGCAGCGCAGCCCCTGCCTGCGCGTTGCTCCGGCCTGTCCCTTGCCCCCGCAGTTCCCGCGGCCCGGCTTGCAGCAGACGCAGCAGCAGCAGCAGACGGCGGCGCTGGTCAGGCAGCTCCAGAAGCAGCTCTCCAGTAAGTGCCTGCGCGTTCCTGGGCGTGGGGGCGCGGGGGGCGTCGCAGCGTG